GCAGCCGATCCATGATTCTCTCTCATCATGGATGTTTCTCTCTCTCTCTCTCTCTCTCTCTCTCTCTCCCCATCTCAATCAATCAATAAAATACATATATTTTTAAAAAGCTGGGATGGCTGTCCTGCTCCCAGCTGTTTGCAGAACCCACTGTCAATCCCTATGCAAGTACTCCTATCGGGACTCCAAAGATGTTTACAGATTTTCATGCTCAAGAACTTGGAGTCAATGAAAGATGAGCAGGCACAGAAGGAGAGACATGTAAGAAACGGCACACAAGAGGAAGCCGAAAATAGACTCCACGGGGGTTTAGGGAACGCACTTCTCCAGCAGGCAGCCAGGAGTTCTCCTGGTCACGGCGGAATCATTACAAAATAAGCTATAGAAACCCAACAGTGGGCCGGAAACAAGCAAGAGAAAGCAAATTCTAAAAGAAAAAAAGGATGCTTCGTAATGGACATTTAAGAGCTCTAAAGAGATCATCGTAAACTAGAAGGTAGGTCAGAATAAAACAACCAACATGAAACACTGCGAAGCTGAAGGACAGCGAGGGGGTAATACCTAAGCCAGCCGTGGGCAAACTACGGCCTGCGGGCCGGATCCGGCCCGTTGAAATGAATAAAACTAAAAAAAAAAAGACCGTACCCTTTTATGTAATGATGTTTACTTTGAATTTATATTCGTTCACACAAACACTCCATCCATGCTTTTGTTCCGGCCCTCCGGTCCAGTTTAAGAACCCACTGTGGCCCTCGAGTCAAAAAGTTTGCCCACCCCTGATAAGCAGAAGCGCAGACTGCGCCGTGCGGGGAAAGAGCCCAACGCGTGTATAATTGGAGCCGGAACAGACGAGGAAGAAAATGAGACAGCTAAAATCGGAAGCCCTAAGAGCGAAGGAAAATGTAAAACTGATGAGAGACCTCCAATCAAAAATTCAAAAAACCCACATGAACTCCAGTCGGGATGAATAAGAAAGTGATTTTTTAAAAAAAACAACAACACTTGAAGCACATCAAGGTAATCAGCTGAAAATCAGACTAAAACGGAAAAACATCTTAACAACCCCTGGAGCAAAAACACTCATTTTCTTCACAAGGGCAGTCATTGGGTTGAGAGCCAGAGCTAACTTCTCAGCTGAGAAGATGGAATTTAGGAGATCATGGAGTGAACTCCTCAAAGGACTTTTTAAAAAAAATAACCCACAGCCCAGCCAGTGTGGCTCAGTGGTTGAGCATCACCCAATGAACCAGGAGGTCGCGGTTCGATTCCCGGTCAGGGCACATGCCCGGGTTGCGGGCTGTAGGAGGTAGGGGCCGTGCAGGAGGCAGCCGATCAGTGATTCTCTCTCATCATTGATGTTTCTATCTCTCTCTCCCCCTCTCCCTTCCTCTCAAAAAAATCAATAAAATATATCTTTTTAAAAAGAAGTAAAAATTAAAGTTTTGGGGTGTTTTTTTTTTCCACTATTTGCTACTCTCAATTCAATCTGGGCATGTCCAGTTACAAACGATATGATTTGCATTTTGAACAATAATCTCACAGTAGGATAATCATTCTTTGCTTTTCTGTTTATTGCAAGTCACCGTGGAAATGAGTGTCATTCATTGCCCAGTTATTGTTAATGTTTTATCTAAATTTGTTTTTGTATAATTTATTCCGTTCGAGTCCCGGCAGCCAAACAGAGTGAAAAGATGCCTAAATTCCTTGGGAGAAAACAGCAAATGAGGCGATAAATAGATTATAAATCATAATTCACTTATTTAAACAACGTTTAGCACATAATGGTGTACACTTACAGGAAATCTGTCGTTGCAATAATTCGGGTTTAAAGTATTGTCAGTGAGCCCGGCTGGTGTGGCTCAGTGGTTGAGTGGCGACCTATGAACCCGGAGGTCACGGTCCGATTCCCCATCAGGGCACATGCCTGGGTTGCAGGCACGATCCCAGTAGGAGGCGTGCAGGAGGCAGCGGTTCGGTGATTTGCTCTCATCATTGATGTTTCTATCTCTCTCTTTTTCTCTTTTCTTTTCTGAAATCAATAAAAATATTTTTTTAAAAAAAACAAACAAGTAAAAAAGGATTGTCACTTCGGGACTGAGTTTGACCCTTAGGGACTCGGTTCACCTCTTAGGGTCTTGGCTTGACTCTTCCGGGCGAGGCTGGCTCTTCAGAACGAGGGTCATGCCTTTGGGACCAGCTTCAGCTCTTAGGGTTAAGCTCGGCCCTTTGGGGTTTCGCTTGGCTCTTCCGGGCGAGGCTCAGCCCTTCGGAGTGGGCTCAGCTCCGCTCTTTGGGGCGCAGCTTGGCTCTCAGGTTGGGCTTTGAGGCTCGGAGGCAAGGCTAGACTCGCGGCACATGGACACATCCCAGGCTTCCCACTTGTGTGGGCAGTGGCAAAAAATAAAGTGATAAAAAATAAAAGCATCATCACTGAGGCCCAGGCTGGTGTGGCTTGGTTGCTTGGATCATCATCTCATGCACCAAAAGGGTTCGATTCCTGGTCAGGGCTCATACCCAGGTTGCGGGTTCGATCCCCAGTCAGGGTCCGTGTGGGAAGCAACCCATCGATGTTTCTCTCTCTTCCTCCTCTCTCTCTCTCTCTCTCTCTCTCTCTCTCTCTCTCTGCCTCTCTCTCAATCGATAACACTTTTAAAATAATAAAAGATAAAGCATTGTCCATGCGGTAATCAGTACGTCTGCCGCGGCATCCTACGTTCGTCTTTCACATCTCCGCGTTGTTCACGATCAAGGCAAAAATTACAGGGGAAGACCTTGACCAGCGGAGCCGTGTCCGCTGGGGGACGGTCAGTCCACTTCACTTCTGTGCAGAGCTGGCGACAGAGGGTTTCCAGTTCCTAGGAGGGACGCACAGCTATGGGGAAGTTGTGCTTTTGTAAAAGAGAGAGCGATTAACCTGTGTGAGCAGCAGCAGAAATGAGCTCCCCCCGCCCCAACCCCCCAGCCCCCATGCTCAACGGAGCAGAGCCACAGCCTTATCTTCCAAGTTGTGGTGCGGTGTAAATCACATTTCGGCAGATTGACTTAAGTGCGCGTTTAACTCTTCTACATAATTGGGTCCTTATCTTAAAAAAATGCATTCGGATCGGAATGTACGTCGTGGCTGGTTTCAGACAGAGAGAAGCCCCGAGGGAGTGGGGATGTGCGTCCCCAGCTGCCGGCAGAATAGTTATTTCTTCCTCCGATGCTATAATTTTGCACGTACGCCTAAATAAAGATGTCCTCTTTTCAATCTTTCCCCACCACTTTTTTTTTTTTTTTTTTTTTTTGCTGGTGGGAAGAATGAGATGCCAATTTTTTTTTCATATTCCTATTTTGCTTCTGAATACATTCCGTTAATTAATGTTCACGTTTAGAAGGACTCATTTGAATAAAGCCTCCGCCAGGCATCTTTTAGGTGCCTGGTTAATTCTAGAAAATTCCGTTTGCATGCATGAAATGTGCAAGGCGGTTTCCCTTGGAAATGTTACTGCTCGGAATTTTCTTGTTATTATTATTTTTTTTATTGATTTCAGAGAGGAAGGGAGAGAGAGAGAGAGAGAGAGAGAGAGGGAGAGAGAGAAACATCAATGATGAGAGGGGACCATGGATTGGCTGCCTCCTGCACGCCCCCTACTGGGGATTGAGCTCGCAACCCAGGCATGTGCTCTTGACAGGAATCGAACCTGGGACCCTTCAGTCCATAGGCCGACGCTCTATCCACTGAGCCACACTGGCCAGGGCCTCCTGTTTAATTTTTAAATAGAAGCGATGAGAACCAACACCTCTGTCTTGTCCCCGGGGTGAGAGCCTCCCGTCCTTCACCGCGCGCCTCGATGTGAGCCGTGGGTTTTCCTGGGTAGATGTCACTGGTCAGCTTGCGGAAGGGCACCTTCCGTTCCTCGCGGGCGGCCTGCGGTGGTCACGAAAGGGCACTTGTTGGCTCACTGTTCTTTTCCTGGGGCTAATGAGGCCGCCACGCTCGTTCTGTCCTTTTGGCCTATGGGCGGTGTGTTACCGTGGTTGGTGTTGATGTATGACACCCACGGGGTGTTCCTGCTCCCGCCTCGGGGATATTCTCACTGCCCTGCGGTGTCTCCCAGGGCTCTTTCCCTACGTAACGGCGTCCTGTGTCATTTCCGAATGTGGGTGAATTTCCCCCCCCCGTTGTGTCTCTGTTCATCTCTACTTTCATTCCCGTGTGGTTGGAGAACATAAGTTTGGGTGGTTTCCACAATTTTAACTTCACTTGGGGTGTGTTTTGTGTGTCCTAGTGCATGGCTCAGTCTGGGAGGTACTCCCTTTGTCCTGAAGGAGAATGTGTGTTCTTGCTATTGGTCAGGGGTGATCTCTACAGAGGTCTGTTAGTTGAATGAACATCTTAAAATAATGTAGATCGAGCCCCACTGGCTCAGTGGTTGAGCATCGTCCCATGCACCAGGAGGTTGCCGGTTCGATTTCCGGGCAGGGCACATGCCCGGGTTGCGGGCACGATCCCCAGTGTGGGCCGTGCAGGAGGCGGCCGATCCATGATTCTCCCTCATCGTGGATGTTTCTATCTCTCTCTGTCTCTCCTTTCCTCTCTTGAAAATAAATTTTTAAAAAGTGTATCTATTATTTTTAAAAAGATAAATAAATCTGTCTTTCCAGAGACCTGGATGGTCTCATTCTGGGGAACAGTGGACGGTGTGATGGGCGGGTCTGGGCCTGGGAGCTGGTGAGACCCTGACCCCCCCGTCTTGTGGGTCAACGACAGCTTGGCTCTCGGCGGGGAAAGAAATAAGACAGCAAGACAGCGCCTGTGTGCTGTGTCCACACAGCTGATGGCCAGGCCAGTGGCCTTTGCCCATTCATTTTTGGGGTGTCTGTGTGTTCAGGAAAATTCAGAGAGCAAGGCGACCCTAAGATTTTAGTACGTGAAGTGGTCAGAATGACACGTTTGCCTGGGATGCTTTGTAAAACCCACATCTTCAGGTGTGTTCACACTTGCTCCGTGTGTTTAGATGGCTACCCCAAAGAAGAAATGATCTACAGATGGAGGAAGAACTCCGTTGAGACGGCTAACCAGAAATCCTGGCGGCTTTATCAGTTTGACTTCATGGGCCTCAGGAACACCACGGAAGTCCTGACAACATCTGCAGGTAGGAATGAACAGGAAAAGGTGTGGCTCTCTGAGAAAAAAACACACAAAACAATGGAACCTGGCCGTGTGGCTCAGTGGTTGAGCGTCCAGCCATGAACCAGGTCACGGTTCGATCCTGGTCAGGGCACATGCCCGGGTTGCGGGCTCGATCCCCAGTAGAGGGCGTGCAGGAGGCAGCCGATCAATGATTCTCATTGAGGTTTCTCCCTCTCCCTTCCTCTTTGAAATCAATAACAAATATATTTTTTAAATCAATGGAAAAACTATCCTCAGGTAAGGATTAACAAAACAAAACAAATATATATATACACACACACACATATATATATATTATGATATCCTTCATGTACTTCCTTGTGAGGGAGAATTGTGGGATTTACATGTTGACTTTCTGCGTTAAATAGTCCACTCACTCAGCTGTTAGCATTT